AAGCAAAACGTTTTCTTGTTTCATTTAAAAGAATTCATAGCTTAACAAGTTTTAAAAATGGACATATATATTAAAAAAAAAGTTACATGGATTTTTACTGTGAAACCATCAGTGCTTATCAACAGATAATTACATGCTACATGAATGCACTTTATGTACTGACATTCACATGCATATTTGGGCAAGGAATTCAAATCCATGGTTGAGCAAGAAGGATCATTTTTAGAACCACAGATTCTTTTTAGAAGTAGTACAGGTCATCCAATGTATGTGTAAGCTGCTCAGATAAATTAATACTGTGTGAGATAAGAATCTTTCTTTGTAATTATTATTTCCCCCCTTTAAACACTATGCTGAGAAAAACAGTTTTGACAACTTGAATAGGGCAAGCTTAGACACACACAACAGTAAAGATGACAAGATGAGTTCCTTTTTAAGTTGCTGGCAAGTCAGAAATTTGTCTGCATCTGAAGCTGGGACATTTGTTCTTTTCTACCAAGTAGAAATATTTCATTTTCTGCCCCAATTAACATCATAAGACTTGTCACATTAACTGTTCTGTTAAAACCCCAGCTACTTAGGCATTAGCGCGTGGAGAAGATTTATCTGTTAATTCTGGGGTAACACAGTACTGTCTGACTGTTGGCAGCTATCTGAGTAATAGGATTGGACAAAATGCAAGTATTACTATGTCCATTAGAGGTTCCATCAAGATTAATGAATCAGAAGAAGATTCTGAGCTCCACGGAATTCAGGTGTAGTGGGCACAACAATGCAAAACTATCTTCAGCCAAGATGTAAACCTGCTGTCTGTGCTGACCCTTTGTGTAAAAAGCCAAAGAAGTCTAGCTGTTGAAAGGACTGTTTTGACAGAGAGAGATTCAGGTGAGGGATGGGTGTTCAGATCAAAGGTTCATTATGCTGAGTGACAAAGATAGGACTACTACAAATACTGGCTGCCTCAAGCTAACAAGATGGCAGCCCAGGCCCTTGAAGAATGTTGCTCTTGCAACACTGGGAAGAATTCTTAGTGTAGTAAATACAGGGATTCAGGAGCTGGAACTGTCAGCAAAAGCAGGAAATGGTCTTTATAATGCCAACCATCAAGTTTACCTTCCAGGCTCAAATCCAGTGCCAGCAAACTCAAATAAAAACCAGAGAGAGGAGCCTGTGTTGCCCAAACAGCCTACTTGTACCTGGCTATACAGAAGTAACTTCTGGGCAATGGTGAAAATTATCTGCACTATAACAGCCTTTTCCCACAAGCACATTCACAAGGAAAACAAGCTGTGAATTTCAGGATAAACCTAAGTCTAGAGAAAGCATCTCTGTTTGAACTTGTGTTTACAGAGAAACTTTGGCAGTCCCAAAAAACAGCTAAGCCCTGAGTTCTGTACATCTATATACTCTGCAATATATCTTGTGTGGACTAGAAATGAATCCTTTGCATTCCAGAAGCATCAAAGGACGACTGCTGAAGAAGACTAAAATTTCTGTGAGTGATTGTTGGCTAGATGTATGTGTGTGACATAGCTGCAGCCAGATAGGACATTAAATGTCCCAGCAGAGCTGTTGCTTACACACACCCTTTAGCATACTATCAACATTGGAAAAGAATCTGTGCTGGAAAATATTGAGAAAATACGTTTTTCAATACATGTTACATACTCAGCTGAGCTAAGAAGTGGCAAAAGCACATGAATTAGCTGATATCTTAAGTTCAACCCACAGCATGGAAAAAATCACGAAGACAAAAGTGGTAAGAGAAAAGGAACTAGGCAGGTGAAATAAAAGCATGGAAGATAGAGAGTTGTATGAACAGATTACATATGGCGTTTGCATGACTTTAAGAAAAAAAGTTTAAAGAAGCATGTCATATAAGCACATTTCATTCTGAGAGAAGTACTTCAGCAGATCAGTCTTCTACTGAATGTCTTCATTGACCACACAAGATTTTTTTTCCTCAGGGATTAATGCTGAGCAAATACAGCGTAAAGAAATCCTTTGCAAGAAGTATTTACAAATAGCCATTTGAAAAAAACCACAAAGTGCTTTAGGTAGTATTTGGTTTACCTCACCATTCACAATCTAAATAATGAAAATTACTCATGTTTGCAGAGAGAGAAAAATTTCTCCATTAATATTTTTGAGAACATTAAATAAACACACAATAATATCTTGAAAGTTTGTGTCTGGAAGCTGCAGTTGTACAAAGGGTAAGATGCAATGACTATGTTTATAAAGTCCATCAAGGAACACTGCAACATTATGAATATTGTTGATTTTCTCACTTTCCATATATATCCTCTTCACCTCTTCAGATAGCTTGCAAACATAATTACCTGTATGCCATACCAAACTATCAAAAACAGAGAGCGACATCATGTATGTCACACTTGCTGGCTCCCACACTTACAGGCTTACTGACTGTTTGGAAAGAAAATGTGACCTCACTGGAGCATTCAAAGCACAGTTTAATAGGTATCCAGTGCTTTCTTGTTTTGGTAAGGATTACCTCGTTCCCAAAATCAAGGCCAAAGGCATTAACAGAGCTATCAAAACACACCTGGCAAGGTATCCTCTGGGTATGGGACCTGAATCTTATTGGCCTGATTCCTTGAACTGTGTGGTCCAGAAACATATCTTTTCTATACAGACGTATTTTATAATTAAGATTCATTAATTTGGTATTTTTACCATTTTCTACTACTCTCTCCTTTAGAGCGCCCATCCCAGCCTTGAAAGAAAAAGTGCTTGCTGGAGTGTTTTAAGACATCCTCCTTACAAAGCAATGTTGCTTAATTAGAAATAACTATATTCTCAGGGAATTCAAGAAAGAGAAAGATTAGATGAACAATAAAAAAAAATACCAAAATTTATATTAAACCTTACTTTTTTTAGAACAGTATAAACGCATGTGCTTTAGGAAATATGCTAACAACAAAAATATTTGAGGGCAGAACGTGGCTTCTCAAATACATTAGATCTGCTCTTGCGCACTTCTTTGATGTGTCCATGCACTGTATGAAATACTTGTCATGTATACCTTATCAATGACTTAAACTGTACTTGCATGTACTCCTCTACTGGAAAACTCCAGCAGAGGAGCAAAGTTGGGACTCTTAGATATGGGATGACTGGTATTTTAGTATTAGAACCACATCCCAAGCTGAATCCAGGGAGATCACCTCTGAAACACCTAGATTAAGACCAGAAAACTAGTGTTCTTCAATATGGGAATGAGCTGTATGGCAATATGGAAAATACCCTAAAATATGAGCATCGTTTTGCCCCTTCCCATTAATCTGCTTTCCTCTCATGGTAAAGAGATGAGAACTAACTGAAACAATGTTTTGATTGGGATACTTTCTAAATTATTAAAAAATTAGGTTGTTACACATGGAGTTCTAGCATAGCCTTTCATTCAAAAGGGATTGTTTCAGTTGCCTTCAAATACAAATCAGCACTTTTCAACAGTTTTTCCTGTATCCCAAGAGATACCACATACTAAGTCTACACCTATGCCAAGGCAGAACATAAAAGGGAATGATATAGGGTGATCCTGATGTCATCACCTAACCTGCCAGAGTATATACCTTGACAAGACTGCAAACACCCCAAAATATAAGTTATTCAAGTATGAGATGAAAATATCATTTCTGAAAACATTTCAAACAAATCCAGGACACATTTGTGAGAAAGTGTTTACTCTTTTCCTCCTTTCCCATCTTAATTACCTCCAAAAGAACATCAACTACAACTGGCAATATAGCCAAAAAACTGAATTAGGAAAATGCTGTTTCAATGGAAACTAGTCCAAATTACTGTAAAGACGTGTATGTAACCAAGAATAAGGTACTAATCCAGAATGCCAGTTCATTCTGGCTGCTTAGGTAGGAGACAGTGAAACAACCCATGAACAAGAAAAATAGTTCTGCAGTATTGCACTACATAATCTGAAGCAGTAGGCAGCAATAGAAGTTTTGTCTTGCAAGTTCCCACAGTCATTCCTTAAAGACAGTAGGATAGAAAGGAAAATGTACAGATCATACTTTCACACTGAAAAAAGTAAATGGGGGAGGTTTTCAGTGGGCCACATACAGACACATTAGCTTAAGCTTCTCAAAGAAAAAAGAAAACCGAACAAAGCCATCTTTGTCTTGCTTCCTTGCATCAGTTGACAAATCACGGTCCATCACAATCAGCTTACACTCAGGTATAATAAAAAGTACTGAGGAGGTTATATTTTAATGTGAGAGATGTAATTTGCTGCTGGTGACAGGTTCAAACCATGCCTGTAAACCCATCATATAACACATCCTCTTTAAGTCCTACACTGAAGGATAGGTTTTGGCTTTGGTACACACTGCAGGCACTTCAAAATGGCATACAGGGAAATGTGATGCATTTTGATTGACTCATCCAGAGGGCTCTCTGGGTGCATCCAAAAAACAGCTTAAAGAAAGCATGAACATGCTTCCATCACATAATGGTGCTCCATAACATTAGTGCATGTGTGGATACGCGTGGTTGTGTAGGAGAAAAAGACACAGAAGGAGGAAACTTCTCATCCCATTAGGCACTGAGTGCTTCCAGAAGCTCTGCAAACCGTAACAGCAATTTCCCTCCCTGCCCTGCCCCCAGGGTTCATCTAGTCCTTGTACCATCATAAAAGCAGGAAAGCTGTAGAGTACAAAATTCTTGCTCTATTTCTTACATTTAGCATCTTCTTGTTGATATCTGGGGTTAAACAGAACTCTGGATGGCTCCAATGCAAGCATTGTTACAGTTTGATTTTATGTTTCTTCTCTTTTTCTTTGTGGAGAAAAAAACCTGTGGAGTCAAGCTGAAGAAACAGTTGCTTTGATGTATTCTCTTACAGTAAAGGACACAGCTTTGGAAACTAACTGCCCCAAAACAATAAACTTAGCAAACTTAGCAAATCTGAATATTAATTTATCTCAAGTAAGTCTGGGGAAACCAGTTTGCCTCCAAATAATAATGGCCAGTCTTCGCGAGCGAAGATCCGGGGAAGGTCTTTACACCTTCCAGCCTGCGCATTGGATTTTTTAGGTGAGACACAGTGTGTGCGGAACTGAGCCCACCCTTTAATCCTAAGGTTCATCTGCCGGGGCCAAGCGAGCTTCGATGGTGGCAGCAAGGTCCTTAGGACATAGATGGGTTGCCTTTTTAAGGGCTAACGAGCTCCATCTGCCCAGGAGTGGCCCTGACCGGGAATCGAACCCAGGCCTCGGCGGTGACAGCGCCGCGCCCTTACCACTAGACCACCAGGGGCTCCTGCCTCCAAATATTTGCCCCAAAACTAAACAAGTCTAAACTTCGTAAAATGTAGTTGGTTTATTTCATTATTATTTTCCTATTCCTACCCCTGGCAATAACCAGACCAGATCTGAAAGGCTGGAGCTTTTGCAAGTTTGCCTTCTCAGATGATCTAGTCCCCCACCCCAGATTCTGAATGTCAAGGTAGTTTAGATTGGTGATTTAGGCACCTATCCAAGACTGCTTATTATTATTGCTGCTTATTTATTAGAATATAAGAAGATAATTGGAAGGACACACTTTTCCTTAGTGGTAGAAGCAACTGATTGATTACATTATGTGTAATCTCCTATTCATAGAAACAGCAGAACATAGCATTCTACATGGCTGAGATAAAGAGTGTTTGTGCGTGTGTGGCTGAGGGGAAGGGGCACAGCAGGGGAGTAAAATACTAAGAATATCGGTGCACCAGATGAGATGTCAGTGGAATAGAAAGTCATCAGAGGATAACGGTCTCCTGCTGCTAAATGAAGGCCAAGGCAAAACAGATGTTGACTCAGAGCAAAGAAGTTTATTTTTAAAGGACAAGACACTGATCCTGTTCTAGTAGTTACTCAGCTAAACTGCCGGTAAATTATCACTCATTTCACTTGACAGACATTTTTAAAGAAAAGCATTACTTATTCCAGGATATTATTGACTTGTTTTATTTTTTTACTTAAAAAAATCCCAACAAACTCCACTCCCACTCCAGACTTACTGTTTAAGTTCCATCAAGCAGAAATTGCTCTAGTAGTGAAAGTACAACCTTTCTGGAAAACTGCCCTGAACTTTCATGCAACTTTCTGACTGAGGTTGGTTTATTCATAGGCTTCAGGTAATTAACAACTAAGTCACCTACCAGTGCAACTGGCTGCGTTCAGTCACCTCTACTGCAAAAATCAGTCGTCCTAACATGGAAATGCACGAAGGAAAATAACATGTTTGAGTAAGGAGCCCAATCTATTTGTTAAAGTAGACTCTATTTTTGAAGCTCAGACAAGACTAACAATTCTAGATAGAAATCTTGGTTCCACTTACATGAGTGGCAATACCCACAGGGACTAATGATTTCATCACGTGTTAGTCTGCAAAATGGATGTGGATGAAAAATGGTCAGTGCTGGAAATTATTCTGTTTGCTTTCCACTGATGCACTTGGACTTTGCTGCTGGAAAACCACCTCTGTGAGGGATATAATATCTTCTCTCATTTGTGTACACCCTTCAGAAAATCTTTTAATTCCCAGTTTCTCCTTTGTACATTATATGATCCTATGATCCCTTCTGGTTTTTTTATTTATTTAGGGGGAGGGACTGTTCTGAATAGAAGATGCATGGGGAGAGGGTACCGTTCTCAGGCATTGATCTCAGCCATTGTTACTGAAACTACTACGACAGAAGATAATAAAAGCTGACACCTCGCCCAGTATGCATCTCTGTTCACTGGTTTTCTGTTGAATGCAATGCCAAGACAAATGAAAGGCCTTGACAGTCATACCCAAGATACTTTACAGATTTGGGTATGGTTATTTGAAGAATTATTTCAGCTTGAGTTACGACTTTTCATCAAAACTACATTTGGAAGAAGGCAATTCCTAAACCAAGAGGACAAGAGACTTTCCTAGCAAGTTCTGAACAGCTGTGTTTTGGAAGGATTCTGTTCTGGAAAAAAACCATCACAACTACACCTTAGGGTCTTCTTTTGGGAGCCATTATTAAATCCTTCCTTAGAGTCTACATTTTAAAAAATCATGGATATTTATGAGCAGAGGTCTCCCTAAAAACCAACAGAAACCAGGCTCCCAAGTCTTTCCGTTCTAGAGAACCACAGTTACAGTTTTAAGTCACTCAGGTGCTTCAGAATTGTACAGCTGTTCTCTCAATAACCTCTTGGGTATAATAGACAGCATTCCTAAAAAAATTACTTCATCTGTTAAGCTCCTCCAACCAGTGCAATAAAAGTATCACGTAAATCCATTTAATCTGGTTTTCTTGATGTATATTGACCACCTCTCTACTAAATTAAACATACTGTACTAAATTGAACATCTGTACTATAATTCTCATACTTTTCCTAGCACATTCCCATTGGTCAAAGGATAGTAGTTCAAATGTAGACACTCTAACAAAAATCTCAGTTCCAAAAATCAGTATTACATATAACTTACAACACAATTATGTCAGTACTAGCTGGAAACATACACATACTGCAGCAACAGTAAATTGCAGCTCTAAGAAAATAAGAGGTCACCACCTCTCACAAAATAGTAACTATAACATTGATCAGAGTCTGTTTTTAAACACTAATCTGTTCACATATTCTGGTCATCAAAAGATGACTAAAACCAGATTTATTAAAACATGCTAGCTAATGAACCTGCTAAACTCAACCCAGTTTCTCATTCTAGACAGAGCTTTAGTATGTTTGAATTTAAGTTTGCCCAGCTGTAAAATGGGGATAATGATACTTTGACTGCTCTTTATAACTTGTCTATATAGACTGTTAACTGTGTTGGGCAGGAATAATCTTGCTTGGCAGTTTACACCTCACAGCAGGAATGAAAAAGAACTTTAAAATCTGACTTATTTTTCTAAAGAAATAAATTAAGAACAGTATTGTTATTGGCAGGAGACTTCAGATAATATTTAAAACATACTATTTCAATGCTACTTAATTTAGTTTCTACTAAAAGCACAATTTTCTATTGTAATCAACTATCAGTGCATAGCTAAAAGCTGGTTGTTCTCTGGAACATCCTATTTAGAAGTGGTTCTGAATCTCCTTTGCTCTATCCACTTTTGTCATATTTCCCTGTCCTCGTGGACGTGTGGGGCTCTGCCAAAGAGCAGCAAATCCATAATCCACTGTTCATTTATTCCCTGGTTATTCCATATGTCATTCTGTCATTCTGCAGGCAACCTCTGCAGATGTTTAAGAATTAATGACTAGAAAAAGTAAGAGGGGTTAAAAACAACTCCTGGAACTAGATGTCACTGTCCAGTGTCATCATGTGCATAATGTTACAGGTAAAACATGACACAAGATGACAGTCAATAGGTTCACATTTCGGTTTACAGCTGATTGCAAGTTAAAAACTTCTTTGAACAGACAAACAAGTGAAGGGGAGGTGTGTGCATGAGCAAGAAAGTGATAGAGGGAGCACACACAGAGCCTCATTCAGGTGAATCTGAGGGATTGGTGGAAAGCCTGGTGAACACAGATTCCACCATCTGGAAATGAAGTTGCTATATGTTTACTAGGGTTCTCACAAAGAAGATTGATCATTTCCAGATTTCCCATTTTGTTGGGATGGATTAACATCTGGAGAAAAGAAAAGCTGTGTGTGCTTTTGCATCAATTTCTACTACTTGTATGCATTTATTGAAGCCCGTGAAGTCTTGGGATATCAGAGATTCCACCTTTACCAAATCTTTACACTTCCTAGATAGTGGAATTGAGCTAAGAAGGTTTCTGTCTGTTCTTGGTAAAACAGTTACTGCTGCTATATAGAATGACAAGATATAGCTCACTTAGAGGAGTTTCTGTTAGATCCTTGCTAAGGAAAGTCTTGTAACATCAATGCTTTTGTCAGAAAACTGTTTTGTTGAAAGCTCCCTTTTTTATAAGGGAGGCAGTCAAGTCTAATTCCTATCTGTCTGCCAGGTTTTGCTGTTATCTCTTCTGAGTAATTGTCCAGAGTTCTGCATGACAACTATTCATGAAATACAAATATTTAAAGAGTCAAGTACATACTTAATATCATTGATACCATGGATTAACAATTTAGGTATCAAAATATTTTTGGACAGAAGAGTTAGAGCTAATAAAAATTATAGATTCACATTTTAATTTAACCATTAATAAAACTACTTATTTTGTAGAATATTTTATTTAACGGCCCACCACTTTGAGTATTTGTTACAAGAAGCCACTTTTCTAATCATCTCTCTTTCATATATTTTTCATAGTAAAATCTGAAATACCTCCTTGCATACAAATCACAATCTGTGATGGTTTTGGACAAGTTTTATGACTACCTTTTTTTTCTTTTATTAAGATACTTATTACTTTTTTAAAAAAAGAGGGAAGACATTTCCTATAAGAAAACATAGGCATTAAAGATAATGTATTGATGGAAATAAATGAAAGCTATTTTGAAAATAAAATGGAACATTACTTCTAGAGAAAAAGAGTAAGTTTCTTATCTGTGTCTGATTAGGAATTGCCTCTGTAGAATTCAGGGGAAAAAAGATAGCTTTTATAAGCTCTAAATCAGCAGTTTGTTTATACTCAGAAAAGTGATTTAGTACAGGTTTAACTTTAGGCACATGGTTAAATTCCATTGGTTCCTACAGAAATAAAGCAGATGTGCTTGGAGTTGATCACATGCTTAAAAAGTGTTGAATTAGGGCCTTTATACTTTACAAACTCAATATACCAAATGGTAATTAATCCTCACTGCACTTCTCAAGGAATGTCTCATTAATAAATGCAACTAGTGGGACTGGAGATTGCCTAATAACTCATGTAGTAACTAATTAATTTGGGCCACAAAATGTAGTTGCAGACCTCCTAAGCCTTCTCATTTTTCTTGCACTGCAGAACTGTGGATAGGAAGGAGGTGCTAGTGATAAAAAAAAAAAAAAGTTTCTTGTCAATAGGAGAACTTCAGTTAATTCTTCTGTTTTTGTTTGGGCATTCATGGTAAGCAGCCTATATTTCAATTGTTGGTGACATATTGAGAAAGAAAAT